CAACAGAGGGAAAAGCCTCCGTGCATCGTGATTCCGAGCTCCTTTGTTGATCCGTGTGCTGCCAATCACTCCCAGCTCTGCTGGCTCCTTCCTCCCCAGCCAGCTCCGGGATTGCTGCCGGGCTCTTCCTCACCAGGCTTTTAAATGTTCTCATCTTGTCCTTAGCAGAAATCCATGGGAAAGCTCTCCATCACCTGGGAAGTGCCAGAGCCATCAAAGGGAGGGATCCAAACCTGTTTGGAGTCACTGCTCTGTTCCTGACCTGCAGGAGAAGGGCACAGCTGGATCAGTCCTGGATTCCAGCCCTCAGGATGGAGTCAGGAATGTGGGCTCTGTGGCAAAAATTAATATTCCATCCAGGTTTTTATTTATATATTTATTTTTTTTATATTTAATCCAGGTACGAACCTAAATCTGCCCCATCTGACGGGTCCTGGCTTCAGTGGCAGCTCTGTGGCTCTGCTGAGCTCTGAGGAGCAAAGGGAGGATTTCCAGCACAGTGGCACTGGGAATTCATCTGCTTCCACCTCCCCTGGCACACAGGGGTATCTGAGCCTTGGTGAATTCCCCAGAGGGACCTCAAATCCCACACAGTGTCACCCCTGGATGTGCAGGGACACCTCCCACTGTCCCAGTGTCCAGCCCCAATGTCCAGCCTGGCCTTGGGCACTGCCAGGGATCCAGGGGCAGGCACAGCAAATCTGGCAATTCTGTGCCAGGGCCTGCCCACCCTGCCAGGGAGGGATGAAATCCACAGGAACAGAACAAGGACAATCCAGAGCTGATTGAACCCCAGAAATCAACAGCAATGGATGCTTTGGAAATCCACTCGATTTCCTCCACTGAGTGAGACAATCACAGAATCCTGGAATATCCTGAGCTGGGACCCCCAGGGATCATCCCAGACCCCCCAACAATCCCAGCCTGGGCATCCCTGGCAGCGCTGCCCAAACGCTCCTGGAGCTCCGGCAGCCTCGGGGCCGTGCCCATTCCCTGGGGAGCTTTTCCAGAGCTCATTCCACCCTCTGGGGGAAGAACCTTTCCCTGAGATCCCATCTCCTGCTCTCCTCAGGTATCCACATTTATTCCTCGGTGCCAGAACAGGTGGAAACCCCCGGGTTGCCCCCACAGGCGGTTCCAGCTCCCGGGCAGGGCTGGGTGCTGCTCCAGGGAGCATCCCTGGCCATGGATGTGTGCCCATCAGGCTCAGCCCCCCGTCCCAGCTAAGCTGCAGGGGTGAATCCAGTGCTGGCAGGAGGTTTGACACGAGTGACAGGGGTTTTTAATCCTCACGGATTTGTTATGGCACGGGAAGCATCACGGCAGCTTCCGTGGAGAAGGGGATTATTTCCCAAATCTCTGCTGCCCTTCATTTCAGCCTTCTCCTGGAGAAACAGCAGAATCATACAGGATTTTTCCTTAAAGGAACCCTTCAGCTCCAGTGCTTTCCCAGATCCCCCTCCAGGCTGACCTGGTGACAGGGATCTGGGACAGCCAGGGAAGAGCAGCTGGGAAAAGGGAGCAGGATCCCAGCCCTTCCAGAGCCCTGTCCCAAGGCCCTGGCAGCCCTCGTGCCTCAGTTTCCCCAGCTGGGAACACACGGATGAGCTCCCAGAGCACCTGGAGATGATTCCTGATCTCCCAGGCAGGAGTTTCCCCGTTATCCCAGGTCCTTTTCCCCCATCCTGTGTCCCTGGAAGGGTTTGAGGCCAGGCTGGAGCTCCCTGGGACAGTGGGAAGTGTCCCTGCCATGCAACACACGGTTGGTGTTCCCAAAGGAATCGCCCTTTGATATTTAAGCCAATTTTAATTAACCTTATCAATTACCGCTGAAAATAATAATCTGAGGAAGCAAAGCTGATTTTAATGGCAAATCCTGAAGTCTCTTCAGAGCTCCAGCAGTATTTACCTGGTTAGAAGAATATCGGTAATGATTATGGTAACAAAATCAATTTGGGATAATTACTAACCTTCCACCGCTCTCGGAATCAGAGTTTTATGTTATATTTTCTTCTAAATCAAGCCATTGATCCTGCCATGAATTAGAATTATACCAGCTCGCAAAACACCCAGACTAATTGAATAGTTAACCAAGTGCTCAATAAACTTCACACCTCAGTGTCCCGCCAGTTAAAGTGCTTAATTAGATCTTGATCCTCGCAAACGAGCTGTAAATGAGGCCGCTTGTTTCCCTTCTTTATTTAACTTTACTTTCCAAACCAAGGAAGAGTTTGGCAGATTTTTTACT